ATCTAGTCAATGCTTCATGACGTCATAAAATGCATCATTTTCCTCATATCCTATAAATTCCTTTAAAAATGACCTAAAGTTGAAGCATTTTTTCAATATTTTATATAGAGCACAATCTCTGATCCAAAATATGCAAATACGTAATGAAAGCTCTGTTTCTGAAGATCAAAAAACATGTTTTATTTTTTGGATCGAGGGCTCTGCTTATAGTTTAATTATTAGCTGAAGGTAGTCAAATACGCGTGTTTTCTGCAAATTTTAAGAACATGGCAATTTCTCAAACCTGTTTTACAATATCTGGATTCTCTATTTTTTATAGAAAATGAAAGCACCAAGTGTCTACTTTATTTTGATATATGAAATGGGAAAGAGGGTGAAAGTTAATTAATTGATATAAGTACAGGGCCATTTTATGCATAAGATGGCTCTTGCTCTTTGAAGACTGTTTATAAGAGTGGATCATTTCAATAGCTAATTCATTTAAAATATTTATATTAATACCACTCACCTTTCTCTCAGTGTCAAAATAATCATTTAAAAAAGACATACTCCCTGCATGTTCTCTGCTTCTTTGAGAGCGATAAGAGAAAACGCCGTGAGAGTCCTCTCGCCTGCTGCTGATCCACCCTTAAAATAAATCAAAGTACTGAAAGTACTCACGGGAGTTGAACATTGTTATCTGAAAGATCTCACAGGAAGTATAGGAACATCTTCATGCATTCAGATTCAAGTCAGCTAGAACTGATTTGTTAGAGATACAAAACGAAACATTAAAAATGATTTCTATTGCATTTAAATAGCCAAGATCATGGGACTGCTCTCAAATTAGCTGCAGACTTGTAGCTCTCAGAAAAAAAAAATTGACAGACCGGAGAGCTACAGTGCTATCCATTGAAAAAAAAAATGTACATGTATATTTATTGCGCACGAACAGTTAATAAGTTTAGTTCTGGATTAATTCTTTCTAATTCTTACCTCAACAATTTGACCAAACCAAACAAACAACCCCCATCACCAAAAAAATTTGTTTTTTCAAACTCTAAAATACTATTTTTGTTGTTAGGTTTTAAACTTCTTTCAGTACCATTTATTACTAAAACTCAAACACTACCCTTATATTTCTTAAATATTTGAATCAAAACGCCCCCTACTCTCTTTAGAACGTGTACAAGATATTTGGTCCCAAGAAACAAACAAACAAACACTCTTTATATTCGATGTTACCATCACCAGACACTAGATTGTCATTTTTCTTCCTCTGATTAAAACAAGTATTAGCTATTCTCTTTTGGGTATGAATGTTTCTTTTCGGACACAATAATTAATTTTTATAGAACTCCATGCTTATCTATTTTATCAAATGTATCTATCTTTATAACTTAATCATCAAGTTTTGTTATTCCATTATATTAAATTTCATTTCAAGTAATATCCATATAGAAGTAAGTATGTCTGAATACTTTACATTTTGTTTGTTTAACGTTCGATAATTTTTCAATCATATTGAAACACTTAGCTACATGTAAATCTACAATTTTTTTACCTATACACGGTTCTCAAAACCATTGAGTAGTGAGGGATCGTTTTGTGCAAGCACATACTGCGACATGGGATTTCAGTTTATATTGTCTCATCAAAAGAGTTTATCTCCAAATGCATCCCACAGGATTCGAACCTGCGACGTAAGGATGTTACGTTGAATCTCTAGAGCAAACTATTTTAACAACTGCGCCACGCGAGTGAGACTTAAAGTTTGTGATTTTGATTTGATTCAAATGCAATTAAAAATCAGACATAGTTTAACGAGCTACTACAAGAAAAAAAAATTGTTGTAATCATGAGGAACGATCTTTCTCACATATCGATCATTGGGATTATCATACCATTGTGTCTGTGCATACGCATGTATTCATTAATCTTAACTGTTTTAATTATATGATAAAATCAAATGATACATTTTATAAGGTAATACTGCAATACAAGTACACAAACATTTTTCAAGTTCAGATTTGGTGTTGTACACGTGACCAACTGAATGCTGATAAATTCCTGAAATTAAGGATTCAAAATTAATGTCATTTGAAATTGTGTGATCGAATATCAATAAACTTTAATACTATTATTTTTTCCCTTTACCAACGTAAAAAAATGAGTTGCATGTATCTGGTCTGACAAAAATTTTCCAGTCTTACAGATCATTTTACTTGTCAGAGCAAATAAATATTTTCCGCAGTGTTTTTTTTTTAAAAAAAGAAACGTTGTTCTGTCTCTTTATTGCTGAATCAAATTGAAAGAAGTTTGGTTAAACCTTAGCGTTCCTTTTCTTACATCTTTGTTTACGTCTCTAGACAATCGCGTGTAGCACTTTTTGTAATGAAGCGTAGTGGAGTCAGCCGAGGATTGCCGAATGATAAATGTCGGAAAACTGGGACTTTTTTTTCATACGGAAATCAAAATTTATGTGTCATTTCTCAAGAAAGATGACAAAAACATGCTATTCAAATTAAGTTTAATGAAATTCTATTTCATTTACTTTCAAATCATTTATGAAAATTAGATTAATTCAGAAAAATGAGATGGACTATTTTCATTGCGGAAGTTTCTTCGAGTTTATATAGACTGGTACGAGTTTGTATTGAATATCACAGGGGAGTAAATTGGGCGACACAGAAACACCACGAAGACCGTTATATAATTCATTGTAAAATTACTGCGTTAGAAACCGCGTGACAGCCTAGGGAGTCTGAACATAGTTCAACTCCCAAAAATAATCTGTGAGTTTTTTTCTGTACAGAAACATATTCAGACAACAGATTCAATGATGTACCGTTTTCAATTTCCATTGTCAGCTGATTTGAACGATGCCAATCTTCGTTATACCACTTTCAAGAAAATTCAAATAAGAACAATACCAGGTGTAAAAAATATTTATTTCGCTGATGTTGAAGATTCATTCCAGTCAATTTAATAGAAATCAATCAATTTAATTTTTAAAATGACACATTTGATAACCCCGGATCACACTTAACAACATTATATTAACGTAAACAAGACGTCCATAGACCACACCGCTCACCTTAGTAACTTTGGTCATTCTGTTATTTAACAGATTTCCCCCTTTGTATTACCTATCTTGACCTTTCCCAATCCAAAAGGGTCATGATTCGAACTATTCGTAGAGGATTTTAAAGTTATTTGACTATATATTTCTATGTAAAACTTGGATTCCCTATCGTGGCCCCGCCCTACCCCCGGGGGTCATGATCTGAACAATTTAGAATCAGAACTAATAAAGGATACTTCCACATAAGTATCACTTTTCTGGCCCAGTGGTTTTTAAGAAAAAGTTTTTTCCTTTTTCCTTGAGAAGAATATTGAGAAGAATATTTTTAATGACCCCAACCTATTTTTGTATTTTCTTAATTATCTCCCCTTAGAAAAACCCCTTAGAAAGACTTGGCCCTTTATTTTATCAGTTAAAGTTCCTCTTCACCTAAGGATACTTCGTTTAAGTTTAATTAAAATAGGCCCAGTGGTTCTTGAGGAGAAGTTGAAATATGAAAAGTTTACAGACGGACGGAAGGGCAACGGCTTTCAGCTCAGGTGAGATAAAAATATATAGCATCATGAGATTCAAATATTCCTAGCCTGGTCCAATATCTGGCCCTACAACCATAAACTGAAAAAAGTCTTGAGTCAGAATTTCAAGTCAACACAATTTTTGAAATATTTTCAAATTTAAACAAAATTACAATCATAAGCTTAAATTAAAATATCATTCAAATCTGCAAAATTGTGAATGGCATACTAGTATGTTAAATAAAACTCGAGATATTTAGATTTAAAATTTTGACTTGAATCTGTTGTCAGTTTATGGTCTAGAGATCTGCTCATTAATTTGTTTTGCTAAAAAAATTGTTTCAGTAGCATTTATGTGTTTGTCAGTGTTAACTTACTAGTATTTTACTTCTTAATTTTGCTTTCACAAAACCAGTAACAATTAAGCGCCTTTCCCTTTCCAAAACTGAACGTGTTGTTAGATTTTTACAGATAATTCGTTTCCACAGAGATCGTCCTAGTATGATGCAGAATCTACATATTCAAATACCGCCTGGGCCATTTAAACACACATGCATGACTTGTTTTTGAGATATTTCATGCCTCTTGCAACATTTTTTGATTTTATCCTGACGTTTTCAAGAATACGCCAGGAGACGTTCTACGGAACCTTGGAAATTTATGTTTCATATACATTATAATACAGTGCATATACTCGGTATTAAATCATCTTTTTAGACTTTTGTTTTTAACCTGAATTTAAAGAATGTGCTGCCTACCTGAACAATACATAGGACTCACGGTGGGTGTGACCGGTCAACGGGGAATGCTTACTCCTCCAAGGCACCTGATCCCACCTTTTCACATATGTTGTTTTATTTAAATATTTTCTATCGATCACTGTTCATATCTTTACCTTTTATATTTTTTACAAAACGTAATGAAGACTTTGCCCCTGATATATTTACGTGTGATACAATTAGTTATGGACGTATTACCTGCATTGCTTTGTTTATGACTCTGCCTGGTTCTCTGAATGTTCCATTTTTGTTTTGTTGAGAAATAAGCCACGAAACGGCATAATTTACGACATATTTGTCAATGGTGATCAAATCAGAGGCCTGAGAGAACGACTTGACGACAAAAGCAGTCAACCTGTAATTTAGTTTATTCCTCAAAATTTGGATAGTATTTACACACGTAGTAACAGAAATACAAGTATCCCTAAGGTCTACATCAAAATGAAAAAGATAACTTTTCTTATATCCAACAAATTTGATTATTATTGTTTTATATTTAAGGTACCTGACTTTTTAAAGTTTTATATTTCTGAAAGGACGTTCTTAAAACATTTGTTTGCTTTTGAGGTCTAACCAAACCCGAATTAAGGTAAACAAATTTGTTTCTTACCAAGTACTGCCTGAAGCGTCACTCTTGCCAAAAGCGCTGTATGATCCGTCCTGATGGACATATGTCATTTGCCGCTGGTAACCTGAAAGTAACAAACACAAATAGCTTTAACATATGCCAAAAATTTTAATTTTGAACATATAGAAAGCACAAAGAAATCAACTTTTGTAAGGATACACACTTCCGCCTCAACCCGGGGTTGAACTTTCGACATACGAAATATGTCTCCTAGCAGTACAGGAACAGCACGTTAGACCGCTCGGCTAACTAGGCAAGTCAAAAAACTTGCTTTCAATGCCGATGGAATTCTCGCGGCGACGCCCTACACTACACGGTTCGTGAGAATGGAAGTAAGATAGAATTATTTTATAATACTTATTAGAGGATCGTAAGACAAAGTAAACAAATAAACCTTTGATCATATATTCTTTAGCTTTCCTCTCTAGATCTGGTGTGAGATTATTTGTTATTGTGAGGTATTTCCATACAAAAATATTGGGAGCAAAATTCAACATGTTCTGTTCACCACATCCATATGGCATCTTCAATAATGATGCAAGGCCACTGATTGAAGGGCCCATCACATCACCTGCAAGATTAAAAAAAAATAGATAATATAAGACATATATTAGTACAAATTTCCTTCTGAATCTCCTTAAGATGAAACACTTTCATTCAATTTCTTTGCGTACTTGTCAAAGGTAAAAAAATAAATTCCCTATATAAGTTTGAATGAATGGCAACGAAGTGTCAAGTAGATAATATTGCTATGAAATATACTGAAAGGAAAAAGAAACTTAGGGTAAACATTTCAGGCGAATTAAATTTATTCATCTTATCATTATTTTCAGTTTTCCTATCGTACTTTTTAAATCATCTTTAACGAAGATATAACCAAAATCTCATTTGATTTGAAACTCATATGACGATACCCTAAAAAAGTGAAAATCGAAAACTCTCATTGTCTTCAATGTCTCTCCCGCGCATCTGTCACAATATCTAGATTCCCCTTCGCATCAGAATTCATCAGAGTTTTTATCTTTCAAACCCTGGCTATATTGGGTAGGGCAACCCCGCCGAAAAATTAGTCAAAAAACGCGCGCATGCGCCAGTGAGAGGAACACACACGTAAAGTTAACCCAAATTGCACAATTAATTGCTTTCAGTTTTGTGAATGTAATGATTATGATAGTCTACTGTAATAACAGCGAATTTTGTTGTAGTATGGTGGCGATTAAAGAAGTTGCAGGACGAATAATTCGATCGTAATGTGACTCTGTTTCACGTCAACGTCATCTTCACGGTTGATTGGAAACCATTCCAGGCCATCTCTGACAACGGAAAACACATTATATGGGGGAATATTTACAAGAAACTGCTTAGTAACCCGCTGTTGCTTTTGTCCTTCCTTTGGCAATTCGAAAATCAGACCCCGTGCAACTTAAGTAAACTGCACCAAGATTGCAAGAAATTCATATCGTCTTTAAATATTGGAAAATGTGTAAACATGTACTTTAGGCGAATCAAATTGAACAACAAGATTTATTGACAAACTCAGCATCATGAATTTGCACATGTTTTGGGCCTTTTAGTGTTTTCCCTACATAACGTCATATATTTCGGTTGTGTAATTTCTGATTACTGATTTTGGTGCATAGTAACTAATTTTCATCCCACCAATTTTTGTAATTTTCAATTTTCGGTCATGCGGTCTCAAAATTTCGAATATTTTGCTTCCCTGCGTTTGTTGTTTACTTTCAGAATATGAAAAAAATATTGCACAGTGATAACGCTTAAAAACCCACTAAAATAACGCTAATCGAGAACAGAGTAAACAGGCACCTCCAATTAAGCATTGAATTCATATTTTTGGATGTCTTCGGTGCTATAACACACCTGGCCGTGCCGAAAATTGAATACCGCGCGTTAGCTGAAAATTACATGCTCGAGTACGACGACGGACAAAGCAAATAGCAATAGGTTACACGACCAATAACAAACCAATAACTGATGCTCTGACACGCTTTGATCCAGCCACAGTATTTGGTGGAAATGATATTTCTACATCATCGAAAAATGTGCCAGAATCTTCAGTATTTATCAGCACAGGGTTGTTAAATTCCTTCTCAACTCCCTCGGGCTGAAGAGTGTAATAAATGATTGCAAATGAAACAAAGAATGTTTTTCTATACAGTATGTGCATATATTGTTTCGTAATAGTTTTTAATTGGATTAGAAAATATCATTTTCTTTTCTATTTTAGGATAAAGATATCTATTGGATTTTTTCTGTAGAAGATATATTTAGCTGAATATATTTGATAAATCTCAAAATATTTATATCGATATCGCTGACCTCCACTTTGAGTGTCCGGATGATGGAATCACTAGCACCAGTTGACGTGGCTGTGATATTTATCTTAATATCACCAATCTCAGAAGGAACAATAGGAAAATAGACAGGATATATCTCCCCAGGTGCTATCTATTATAAAACCAATATTGCAATTCAATCAAGCACTTGCCAAAAAAAAAAAAAAGAAAATAAAAACATGAAATGAACGAATGGCCATACTACGGCAGTTTTGGAGTAATACAAAAGGTTTTAAACCGAGTACAACAGGGTATGGATAACTTAAAGAAACTAAAAGAACACGCTTAAGCATTGAAGAAATGTAATTTGTGTACAAGGCTTTTGTAGACAATTGTAAGTGGGTGTGTTATATATAAGGCTACTGTACTTGTTATAACTAATTGAAAGAGATATGTAAGTAAAAACAAAAGTATATTGTAGATATATTAATTGAAAATACAATGTTCATACATTGAGTGTTCGTCCTATCCTGAATGAAAATCTCCCGCTTTTTACTTGGTTGTCTTTTAAGTAAGTGACGACATTTTTGAAGGCCTTGTTTTTATCAATAATAATGAGGACCTGAAAAAAGAAATATGAAATAATACATTTAAAAATCGCACGGATTACGTACACTGCTCCCATTTCTGAGAAAAAAATTTCGAAAATTTTTCCTTTCACAAATACAAACATTTTTTGTCAAAAACTCACTAACATAATTGGCAAAGGCCCATTGAACATCATTAAAAATGTTTACATAATTATTTTTCATACCTTGATATCTTTCTTCAGGTAGTTAAACACGTTAGCTTGGAGAACCACTAGTTCCCCTCGTATAACGGAGTAAGGTAAAGTCAAACTCACAAAGAATGGCTGAAACACTCTAAGCTGCAACCGAATTGATAATAATACATAGAAAAATACAGGGTTGTCATCTGACAAATAAAACCTGAATGAACAGAAGAAGAAATCAAAACCAATATATATTTCAAGGATTGGTTTGATCCACTGTACATGGTTATCGTTTCAAATTGATCAATTATCAATTATAGTGCAATTGTTTTTATGCTTTCAACGTTAAATAAATTTGCAATGAGTTTTGAAAATAATGGCTGGAACAGTGGATATCAAAGACATATTTATTATAAACTGTTTACAGATTAGAGATACCACAAATAGTTCTCACGTTAGCAGGGGACGGATCCAGTCCCAGCCCAGAGTTAGGGTTGACAGCAAAAGCTGTAGCGACCCAGGTAGTGATAGTATCAGGTACCGGAACACTAAATGACGTCATACCGTCCGCTCTGTAAAGGTTGTGTTTTTCTTTTTTGAAAAATTGCTCAAGAAACAATGCAATATAAAAAGGAAAGCCTCAAATTTAATTTAAGATAATGATTTATACAATATTTTTTGGACATTATGGTAAAAAAACGTAATTATGTACTTGTGAAACGTCTGAAGTTAAAAGCGCTATCGTTTTTAGCTGAAATTGTTTTTATTTTACCTGGTGAAATATATGGAGACAAGGAAAAGTATTCTAGTTTAAACATTACAAAGCAGGAGCAGAACAAACGCGGACCCCTAAATCATCAGAGGTGTGATCAGGTGCCATGGAGGAATGAGCATATATGTAAGTTTATATCTAATTGTGTTTTACTAGAAATGGGTATTGAAAACAAACTAATAACTAAGCTTATGAAATATACTTGACGATTTTGACATTTCTACCGTCACCTTCCTTAGAGTTGCTATGTACTATTTCTACCTGCATATGAAATTTATGCCTCTCAGTTGATTTAATACGCAAGGGCAAATCATTTTTCTAAATTAAGGGGGCCGACAGGGGTTTTATTGCGTGAAAACTACAAAAGCGAAGCGCTTTTTTTATACTATAATAAAATTAATAATAACCTTGTCATCGATATGTCGTTATGATGAATGTTGACTAGTCTGACGTCTTTCATATAAATTGTTAGGTCATTTTCTTCACTCTCTATACATTTTTCCCGTTAGGTCAATCATAACATTAAATCAAATTTTGTAACTAGTCGACAAGACATGTTTAATCCTCCATGGCACCTGATGCCCCTCTGTTTTCAGAGGTTCGACTTAGCTCTGCTCTTAATCTAATGATCACTGTTCGTATTCTTTACATTTCAGTTTTACAAAACAGTTATACATGATATTTAATACATACCCTACTGTTTTATTTAACCAGAGCCAGGTTTCTGGAAAGAACGTTCGAACATGCTTTTTAAGCGGTTAGCTTCGCTAGCCGCTATATGGCATGTGTCGGCAACCGGAAACCTCCATAAGGCGCTACCTATCGGCATCGCTTTATCGCTCGTAACCTTATCTTTCTGTAACCAAAACCGGAAACTTCCACAAGGACCTACCTATCGACAACGGTAACTTCAGCAAATGATTTGCATACTGTCGGCGTAATACGCCCTCTGGTTAGAGATTGACAATATGCTGTGAAGTCTGACTAAAGCCAGCCCCTTCTATATCACTTCGTACTAACGAAGTATATGATGTGTATAAAGAGTGGCTATTATAACGATTATATCGAATTCTTATTAGTATATTTACCAAAGCATTGACAATACTTACAACACTTACTTTTAAGACCTGAGAATTTGGTCCTTATTACATGTGTATCGCGCGATCGCGATTTCTGACAACTGTTAGTTTATTTTTGAAAGTTTATTATACAGCAGGTTGGAGGTTATTACAGACTGCAAAAACATCAGCAAATCTCTCGATCGAGTTTGATTTTCCTTGCCAAAGTATTAATACACACCATTTATTAAGTTAATACCCGAAAAGCGCTTTTATAAAAACACCGAACGCATCTGTTACAAGTTTTACACTTTTTGTAACGTTTAATGGAAACAATAGGGTTACCTCCACTATGAAACGTTTGTTTTTCTTCTCTTTTCTTCTCTGTCTAATAAACAGATTATAAAAGCTCTGCTCCCAGGGATAAATTCTCTACTCCGTCTTTGATAATTTATTACAATCGATCATAAGGGATTACTTACTATTAGTTTTGTAAAAAATAATGGAGCACTTAAAGTAGTAAAATCAATTTTGAAAAAAAAAAATGGAGAAATATATATTAAATTTAATCAGCATTGTGATCCTCTTCTAAAAATCAACCGATATTATTTTACAGAAGAATGAGGTATGAAAAATTTCGGCAATTAGCAAAAACTTAAAATATATACTTAATGCTTATTTATAAGTTTTGAAAATTTGATCAATTCCTAGGGAATGTATTATTAGCTGTGAAAATACTTTTAAAATTTGAATTTGTCCAATTTGTCGATTATTGTTTTAAACGTTTGAGAAGAATAAAATTAAAATACAGGTGTTTAGAGGCACATTGATGGAAAAGAAATCAGTGTATATTGTTTAACCGACATATTGAAGAAAGTGACACTGATAACTTCTTAAGTTACACTGATTTTTAATGTACATTTGATTTTTTAAATACTAGTATTGATTGATTACACAACTTTCCGTTTAATGTTTTATTTGAGAACAATATTGCATGAAGAGTATATGATAAAAACATCTTATATGTCCTTATCTAGATATTGTGCCTTATATTGTGCAATACTTCTTTCCAATGATTCTCATATACCATTTACTTTATTTGAACATTTACTTGTTTGAAAAGTCAATAAAATATATTTCATAAATCTTGATAATCTTGTTTACTCGCCAGTCTTCCCATAGAAGTAGTAGTTTATAATATTACTAAAGGAAGTATTCAGTGTCTGTATCAAAATACAGAATGATCAATAATCAATTTTAGAAGAAAAGCTGACTCCTGAAAGTTCAAAAGGTGTTATCCGTTGCCTAGAAAAAGTAAGCATCCCTCGTTGACATGTTAATTATATTGCCGCGATGAGCCTACACAACTGAATCTCTCTGATATCAATTCATTTACAAAGTCTCTCCTCAGCCATCCTTTTTTCTCTGACTAGCCAGCTGTAGATCTACACTACTCCAAATCCATTCATCTAAAGAATTTAACTTGTAATTTTTTTAGTTGTTTGTTATAGTAGGCTTTACAATTATCTAATTTTAGATTTAATAGAGAATAAAAGACAATGAAATTTTCAACATCAACATATTTTTTTTTATCCAGAGAACAATTGGATGCCATCAAGAGAGAATTTTTAAAAATGCACTTCATGTCTTTCAAACTGAAGAAATCTCATGTTTAAATTTTGAAACATGCATTTCAATCTTATTAAAATTTATTTAAATGTTCCAAATCCGCAACCGCTTCTGAAACATCTAACATCCCATTCGGGGTCACATCAGAGCGACCTTTCAATTATGTATACATGTACAAGTAAACGCAAACACTTTGGCCATGTAGATTCAAGCCTCGGTAAACAGTTATCAAATTAATTCCACGGCTACATATCATCATTATTGATACTGTCTTACGTTGAATTAAAGTAATTTTGGAGTAAATTTCATGTATCTACTGCAGTCTGGCATCTAAACGTGAATAATGAAATCGAAAGAGCACAAACTATACAAGATACCCCACACGTCATACATAACACAACTTTTGCAATGCATATCTTTTTACTATAAAACTCCTCGGGTGTTTTGGTTGGGTGGTGAAAACAAGAAACCCATCTGAACTATTAGCCAGGATTTCGGAGGAACCATTTTCTTTGCCTTATCGAAGATTCACTCTTACATGCCCCCAATAGGATGTTGCTAGATGTTTGAGAAGCAGTAGTGGATTCGGAACATCTAATTTTAATTAGATTGCATCCATCTGTGACATCAGTTTGGAATGTTATTGGTTTTACTATTGAGTAAAGTATTACAAAAACAGAATGTCTGGGTTTTTCTTCTCTGATGACATTGGACAAAGATATGCATATTTAAATATCATCATTTTATGCACTTTTTCGGTACATATTAGATGAAAGCATGCTAACCGCTTTTCAGTACTTTCAGTACTTTGATTTGTTTCTGTTATAGAACCATAAAGGGTTCTAAATCCTCCTCCTGACCACATTGCTTCAATCTTGACTGTAAAATAACGTTCATTTGCAGATTACACGGTTTAACTTCAAAGTACAAGTGTTCCTGCTTTATATCTGCATTATAGTAAACTTTAATAAAAATACAGTGTATACAATTTACACAAATTAACGACATAACGCCATAGAATGTTAATGCAACTTCCTTGTTAACAAGATGTGTTTGTCAAACAATGATGTGGCTGCTTATGGAGAAGGTTCAAGTTTTTCAAATGCAAGTCAAACTCTAAGTTCAAGTTCAAAGGAATAAAAATTGTTGGTACCAAATGAACGTATTTGTTAAGAAGAAATACTTGTAAAAATTAATATGAAAGGTAGATGACCAACCATTGTAAAGTAATAGCGAAGATTAAGGTTTTTCGAAAGTAAGTCAAACTACGACTAGGTTAGGTAGAAATGGGCAAAAAATTGATAACAAAGTGGATGTCTTGTCTCAAGAAATACACATATAAAATATGAAGAAATATACGAGTAAAAAAGAAAGCCCTTGTATAAAGTGTGTGAAGTTCTTGCAATGGTTCAAGGTTTCTTAAAGTTGGTTTAAATTTTAAAAAGATCAATATCAAAGGTGAAATATCTCGTCAAAGTGAATAAACATATGAAGTATGAGAGTCCAAACACGATTTGTTCTAAACTTATGAACGAGGTTAAAGTTTGGTTTTTTTCTTGCAAAAGGCTGTCAAACTAACTGTTAACAGATCAAATATGTTGGAAACCAGAGAAAGGTTTAATTACAAAGAATATGAATATGAAGTATAGAAACCATATTTAAAACCCATCAAATTTTGATTATGAAAATTTTTGGTTAATTTAAAAGTTTTTGCTTATATACATACAGCTGAACAGCTCAACAGACGGAGGCACAGGGCAAAAACTATACGCCCCGAATTTTTACAAGTGCATAAAAATCTTTAAAAAATTGCATTAGTTTAATTGATTTTAGATAAGAACTTCCTTTCTTAGTTTAGATTGCTAGGTTTTTACCATTTTAATTTTTTTTTGAGGTTATATATATAAATTACGTTTTACCAATTTATTTGATTTTTCCAATTTTAATTTCTCAGGATTCAATTTTTTTTAAATTTAAAATAAAAATGTTTATATTTAGTCAATTAAGGAAATAATTTTTTTTATAATTTGAAATCATTTTTTTTTTATAAAATCTGTCTTAAAGATGTTCCATATTGATATCTAAAGTCCTAAACTTTTTTTGCCAAGTATACCGGTATTTTTAGTTTCAACATACATAGCCTAATTACAATTTAAATCCAAAAATGGGGGTCAATATGCTTCTTTTGGCGGTACAGTACATTTGATTTGACCTTATTGCACTGCAATTTGTGTCTTAATTAAAAATTACATGTACATCTTCGACGTTTTCCCTCCAATATTTTTATCCAATTAATGCAGGAAACAAAATGAACTCTAAAACCCCAGTCACATTTCCAAAAACGACCAACGGCCGACGGGTTTTGAAGCAAAAATGGGATTCTTCGGGTGACAGTCGTCAGTTCATCGGCCGTAGTCTTGGCCGATTTTGACCTATTTTTTTGTCGGTCGACCAATTTTGTGTCCATCGGTCCAAGTTATAATTTTTCATGCGTCGGTGGCCAATTTCTTCAAGTGCAGTTATCCGTCGACCAACATTCGATCATCGTCCGACCATCGGCTGTCAGTTTATTAAGTCGGTCGTCCGTCGTTGGACAATAAGGGTGTTGAAAATTTCGGCCAACGGTTAAAATCAAACTGTAGCTCAGAGCTCGATGAACGGGCGACAATTGGCCGACTTGTGAATATTTAACCTAGTAAGGATACATAACACAAACAAAATTTTGATTCATGGATTGATTTAAATTTTTTGAACGGAGATAACTTAAATAATTAATCCGAAAAATATAAAGAAATCTTAAGTATTTTTTGCTGTTAGATAAGCACCATTTGTCGCTTTTATGCAATTCCATACAAATTTTACACACATTTTCAACACTGAGTCACAATTTTATAAGATTCTGCCACTTTGCCTTGCGAACTTTACTCATGTCACCTATCTGAAAAAATATTGCTGATTTCTAGAGAAAAAAGATTTTTTGTGTTATTTATCCAAGTCATCGGTGTCCCTAGGAAATAATGTGACTGCTCCCTGTCGACCGATACTGTGTCGGCCGATCC